TCAAAGGATATAAACATTTTTATGGCTTTTGGAATCATGATAAATTTACTTTATCAATTTGTACTGGTATCAAAGTAAGAATGTGTATCAGATTGACTACATTTTTTTGGTCATGAGGCATTATAATTCTTTAAAAACCTCACAAATTAAATAGACCAATATTTAATTTCCATTTCTTTAAATATTAGTAGAATTATTTTTCAGTCTTTTGTATGCCACATCTCTAACTCTCCTCACCCCCATGTGTATCTCTCCTAAATCCATGTTATTAATTCAATATAAAGTTTTCCATATTTTTCAAAGATTACACACCAATATACCTAAGCACTTAAATACATTTTAATAAATATGAGTTGACAGTGTTTGATAAACAGCATATTATACACACTTCTATACACTCTGCTTTCACACTTAGTAACACATGAAAATCCTGCAAGTCAAATAGTATAATTCTAATTCATTATTTTTAATGGTTCTTTAATGTGGATACATCCTAATTCATATGACCATTTCCCTGTAGACACACTCAATTGGCTCCCAGTGTTTTGGAACAATGCTGTAATAAGTACTCTTAAATCCCTAACTTCTTCTGACATGTATCCATATATATCAGATCTTTTGTTTCTAATGTCCAGATTCCCAAATTTGGAATAACTGGGTTGAATTTTAATAGGTATTGGCAGATTGCTTTCCAATAAGAGTACAAGAATCACATTTGTTCTAGCAATCTAAGATGGTATCTTTCCCCCTACAATCCTATCATCAATAAGTGGTATCATTACTTTTAATTCATGTAGTCTTTGGGTATAAAGTATCTTTACTCTTTTACTTTGTATTTCTCTGACTACTAGTATATTTGAACATCTTTTCATGTTTGCTGGCCTTCTTGGACTCTCTTTCCTGTGGATTGTCTATTCATACCCTTTGCCCAGCTTCCAAGTCGGTTATTTACCTTTTTCTTATTGGTGTGGGAGAACTTCATATACTGCTTGTATTAACCCTTTTCTGGGCCCATATATTTAACATATAGCTTCCTAAATGTTTGTTTTAATTTTTACTATTCTAGCTTATACACTTAAACTTTTAATTATCTGTATAAGGATCCAAGTTTGTTTTCTTTACAATAGAGAGCTACTTTTGCAAATACCATTTAATTTAAAAAAAATCATCTTTTCACCACTGAATTAAAATACAATCTTTTTCATATATTAAATTTTCATACTTAATGGGAATAACTTATTAACCACAGGGCTATAATGTCAATGCATACGGCAACTGGGTCCTTGATTAATTTTAATTTATTTGGTAAGGGTAGAAATCAAACCAATAAAATCAAGAGTCAACATTACCTAAATCTCTCACAGACAAGCAAAAACTAAAAGAGTTTAGCAACACTAAACCCATGCTAAAAGAAATATTGACAGGTCTACTCTAAATAGAAAAGCAGGATGCTACAAAATTGAGAAACTCATAACTGGAAAGGAGATAACTGCCATGAATTACAAAAAGAATAAACACAAAATTGTAAAAG